GTCTCCTGGCTCCCACGAGGAGCAGGAAGAGGATGTTTTCCCTGAGCGGAGCAGAGGCGCAAACAGCACGCTCAGAGCACCTGCCCAGGCCTCTTCCTCACCCGCTGCCCGGTCCCTGCCGCAGCTCTGAGGTGGCCTGAGGTTTGGGGTTGTGCAGGCCACTGCACCTGCCACTGGCCCTTTTGCAGGAATGGGGGCTGTAGGGCTGAGTAGAGGAATGTGTGAGCACGCATGTGCATATGTGTGCACATGTGTGCATACGTGTATGTGTCTGTATGTCTGAGATGCGTGTAAGCCTGTGCATCTGTGTCTTTGTGTGGATGTGAGGGCTCATGTATATGTGTGTTCACGTCCCTGTAGTGAGTGGTGTGCGTGCTGTTTGTATGTGCATACATGTGCATCTACAGATCATGTATGTGTGTAGTTTGCATGGTTTGTATGTGTGAATGTTTGTTCAAAAATGCCACACGTGGTTACACATATCACCTGCATGCACGCACACCCTGTGGTCTGTCTGTTGTGTTTGTGCACGTGGTCAACGTGTGCGTGTAGCTGAGTGGCTGGACTGGCTTCAGGTTGCTCAGCTGTTTGTGACCTGGACCCCGCCCACCCAGCCGAGCGCTTCCCGGGTGCCATGGACCCCTTCCCCGCTGGAGTGGGGGTGAGGAAGAGTTGGTGCAAGGCTACTAAGAGCCCCAGAGATGGAGCCGAGGTGTCCATGAAGCCGAGCGCAGAGGAGCACTGGATTCCCAAAGTGGCTCCCGACAGGGAGACAGTTGCTTTTGCCCTGGCCGAGAGGAGGTGGGGAGCTGCCCCTGTGCTTTCACGGCCACCGTGCTGGTGTCCCTTTCAGGAATGTGACGCTCTCCCTGTGGCTGGGCAGGGCCTACTGTGGGTGCTCAGAAATCATTTACTGGCTGGTGCTGGTCTCTGGAGCTGCCTCCTGTGGGCCTTGCATCAGGCTTGTGCTAGCTGGGTTCCCCCTCGCAGTGCCCCGGAGGCAAGGCCTGGATGCACACCATGCCCCGTGTGCATGTCTCAGGTTGGGGCTGGATGTGGCTCCACAGCACCAGCATCACTGCAGGCTGTGTCCAGGGTGTGTGACCCCTTGGCCAGCACTCTCTTAATGAGGGTTAATGACATTAATTGTTACTGTCCCCTTCAAAGGTACTGGGCTTCTTTGCCGTGTTGAGGAGCTGGGTTCACTGCCTGCGCAAGGGGACAGGTGTCTGACAGCAAAACCAGTGTGTGGAGGAGGAGCCTCCTCCTCCCTAGGCCATGGGCCCTGACCTCCTGCAGCCCAGCATGAGAAGTGCCCCCACTGACCTCGATAAGGTGGCACACTCTCGTGTGCCAGGGACCTTATACACATGAAGAGCTAACAAATCAGATAGGTCTGCACTTCATCACAGTCTAAAATTCTAAGCCCCGGGCAGGTCCAGGCACTGAACGGATCTGGCCTCACCTGTGCATTTGCATGATCATCTCTTTTATCAATGTCTCCCCCACCAACGAGGCTGCAAAGCTGATCACTTGTGCAACCCCAACCTGGCAGGTGTCTGGCACCCAGAAGGTGCCCACTGAAAGGCCTGGAGAAGGAACCAAAGACAGCAGGGCTGCAGCTGGATTCTAGGGAACCGGCATCGCCAGGGCCTGCTCGGGCAGAGGGAAGCACATTGGACCAAGACCCTTTGGTTTTCCCAAATTGCAGCACTGGGGAACAGTCCCCAAAGCAAATTCTTTAGCACTCAGGTTTTTAGACTTGCTCTATCTGAACTGAGGTGTTTGTTGAAGCCCCAAAGATCTCATGAGCGTTTTTTTAAGGAACAGTGTGACATCAGGCAGTGTGATGTGACATCGGGACCTGCTTATTCCTAAGTACAGGCTGAGTGTGCAGCCATTGAGGCCACATTCCACTTTAATCAGATTCCATTCCATGGAACACTCTCTTAATGAGGGTTAATGACATTAATTATTTCTGTCCCCTTCATTTAAGAACATGCTCAAGAGGAGCTAATTGCCACATGATGGCCCAGGGATAGCTCAGGCCCAGCAGAACTTCAGGGAAGAGCATGTCCCTTCATTCCACCTCCCCCCTGCACCCAGGCACTTGTCTTGGCTCCTCTGCACAGGGGGGCTGGCCAGTCCCCAGCTCCACCACGGTGAGAAACGGGGGTTCCTGTGTATCATGGCTTTCCCCTCCGGGTAGGGTGGGGTCTTAACATGGACCTCTGGCTGGTTCACCAGCAGGTTCTCCTGCTCCGTGAGGACGATGGGACAGGTGCACCCCACAGGATGTGAGCAACACACTTCTTCTCCGCTCACCCTGCTAGAATTCAGATGAAAAACACATAAGTGATTTGGCTCAGTGATTTCTCTTCGAGGATACATCCTATGGAGATGCTTTTGCACTCACCATGATGGATGTTGAAGGGCCTTGCAGCATGGACGGAATGGCAACAGGGTGGAAATAGTCTACGTCTTTGCCTGAGAGTGTAGGGTGCCAAGCAGGGAATAGAATGAGACCCATCTGAATGTGTTGAGATGAAACAACATTCAAGATAAATTATTCAAAAGAGAGCGGGGACAGAGCAGTACATGCGGCAAGTTGCCATTTGTGTAAGAAGTGGCATGTCCATGTGGCCAAGCAGGAGGCTGAGTGGAACTGTGGGTGTCAGGCTCCTATGTAGTTCTCTGTGATGACAGGGCTCCCATCTGTGGGGGGCACCCAGCAGTGTGTACCTGTAGCAGCGGGAGGATGCAAGGTCACGCTGATGTTCTCCAAGGTTCAGACAGGGCTCAGGCCCACATGGCACCAGAGTGCAAGCCCAACACTGGGAAGGGCTGGAGGTGGCTGTGAAATCACACGCGGGCGGGAGCTTGCTGGGAAAGGCAGCGGGCTCCCTGCGAGGCCATAAGGCCCTCCTTACCAGTTTCCAAGACTCACCTCGCTCCAAAGCTGCGTGTCCAGTCAGCAGTCCACTGGCCACATGTGTCTATGTAACTAAACTGACATTAGACCAAGTTAGGATCCAGCCCCGTGGGGCACCAGTCATGTTGCACCAGTCATTGCCACGTTTGGCTGCCGGCTGGTCCTGCTAGGAGGGCACAGCACCAGAGAGTGTCCACCAACACGCAAGTCCCCTGGAGGGTGCTCAGAAGCAGGGGCCCCCCAGTGCATTTGTACCCTTTAATTATTATTCATTAAACTTTCCCAAGGCAGATTTGTATGGGTTCTGGAAATGTGTTGCTTAAGTCCAAGTTCAATGGTATTTTAAAAAATTGTTTCTTTTCACCTAATTTTCATTTCTTTGCAGTGAAATGATGATGAACATCAGACCCCAGGGCTTTAAGTTCTCCTTTTGGGTCACAAGCAAAGGTCTTCTTCCCAGGATGAGTGGTGGGCACTGGGTGGAGCCACCCTGGAGACTGTTTGCCATCCCTGAGGCCAGTGGGTGGCCACCTGCCCCTCAGGTCTGAAGTGGGCGGAAGGAGGTCAGTCTGTAGAAGCTGGGGGTCAGTTTGGTAAGGGAAGGCAGAGTGTGGAAGGGCCCCCAAGGTAGTGGTTCTCAGGAGGATGGACTCGGGCTGTGTAGGACCGCCACACAGTTTCTTTGTGTGCAGATCCAAACAACCACAGATTGAAAATATTTGGTAAAAAATTGCATTTGAACATCTGTGGACTTCCTCTTGTCATTGTTCTCTATAAGCAATACAGCGTGCCAGCTATTTGCAGAGCATTTACATTTTATTAGGTGTTTTATGTAATTTTGAGATGATTTAAAGTCTACACGGGGATTTATACAGGCTATATGCAAATACTGCCCCACTTTATTGAAGGAACTTTTGAATCCTTGGATTTTGGTATCCTTTGGGGGAGGAGGGTGGGTTCCTTGAACCAGTGCCTGTGGGTACTAAGGGGCAGCTGTACTTTCTGGTGAGCACAGACTGTGTCCAGGGCACATGGACCAGTGACCGTCTCTGTGGGTCCTCATTTGTGTGGCCTGTTGTCATAGCAAGGCCCACGCTGGAGTTCTGACAGGAGGACACCTGGAAATGGCTGGTCTTTGGGGCTTGTGAGCAGAGCTGCTGGTCCTGGGAGAGCCTGGAGACAGAGCCCACCTGTGGAGCGGCCTTGCCCTACCCAGGCCCTGGGTCCCGTGGCCTCCGGAGGTCCCACGTGAGCACTCCCCACCAGCCAGCCTTCAGATGAAGCCATCCCGTGGCCTCTGTTTTCCAACAGTTCAGGAGCTGGTTACTTGTGATCTTCCACCAAATAATATTTTCTGTTCTTAGAAAATTCACATTTTTTTTTGAATCCTTACTTTTTTACCCTTTAATATTTTTCTTATCTACCATTTTGAATCTCTTCACTTGGGCTTCCTCGTCTCCATTTACACAGTGTGGTTTCCATCCTCTGTTGGGCCTGCTAACACCTGAGGCTTCCACAGCACCCCAGGCGGCTGGTCACTCCAGCCCAGGCTGCCGGGGCAGGGCCTGGCCCTCCCAGGGCTCCTCTTCAGAGCAGGAGGTGGAAACATTTGCTAGAGGGGTGTTCAGCAACCACAGCTCTGACTTTATTCCATTACATAAAACACATCACTAGAGCAAATGATTAATTTATTGAAATACATGAAAGACAATGCGCAACGTCAGTGGGCTAATCAACAGCTTACCACATGTCCTCGTGGCGTTCCCGCCTATCCCATGAGAACATTCTCTGCAAACTCAACACCGGTGCTGGTGAGTATCCAGCTTGGACAGAGTATGCAGAACGTGAGGCGAGGATTTCACCTCTAGACAAACTTCACGCAGATTAAGAAAATCCCGGGCATGGTGGCCCTGGTCCCCCAACGAGGGCTGTCACTCACACTCACAGGCCAGGCTGGGCAGATGCCGCTCCTTGGGGCGTCTTCAGTGGGTAGTGTGAGCCTCCTCCTGGGAGCCCGGGGGGCTGTCACTGTCCCAAGGAGACTCGAGGATGGCTCTTCAGAGAGGCGTTACTTATTTTTCTTCCTCTCCTTTCCCCCCTTCTTCTTCCCCTTCTCCGTCTCCTTTTCTCTGCCACCGACTGTTAAGGATAAGACGCGCTTTCTGCCCAGAGGGGTCTTGGCGTACCAGTTCTGAAATGAAACGGAAACTTCGTAAACGCCCAGGAAAAGACCAGCAGGACACGAACCCGCCAAACAGTCTTAAAACCAAAGACGAGCTCGCTAGGAACGAAGCAGCAAGTCGCCATTTTACTTTGGGCATTTAACGTCTTTGACACAAACTTCTCTCCCTGGGCTTTCTCGTCTGCATTTCTGTATGATCCGAAACTCGTACCCGAGGAATTCCCAGTTTCCAAGAAGTGCAGACTAAACGTAAGCAACAGTACTTTCCAGGTAAGTCCCGCGCTTCCCTGGAATGTTACTGTGCCCTGAGGATGTGGGTCTTCTTGGAAATGTGAATTGGCCCTGGTTCATGTGTGACCACTGTAAGCTGGCCACATGTGAGCACAGTGGGCACTCACATGCTCTGAGGGGGCTCTGTGGAAAACGGGGCAGAAATAATGGAGTCAAGATACCAACAAAGCACTTAGTGATTGCCACTGGCCCTGTTTAGATTGCATTTGGAACCTGAGAAACATTTTGGTTGATAAACATTACAATAATATTATTTCATGAATGATTATATCACCCATCAACTCTCCTGTTAGTGGACATGTAAGTCATTTTTCTTTTTTGTGAACAGTGCTATAGTTCACAATTTTTACGTGCCTCTTTGTATACCTGTGAGACGTATCTCGGGCATACGCTTTGGAATAGAATTTCTGGGTTACAGGAAACAAACACCTTCATTATAGCCAAATTGTTCTCTGAAGTGCTGCGAGAGGGAACTGATCTCTGATATTTGTCTTAAATTGACTTTGTTTTCTCCTGCCTCTGGTTTAGCTGGGTACAAATATTAGGTAGCTGACTATTCTCATCGCTTTGCAGGTATAATTTCACTGTCTTTGGCATTTATTGCTGTCAAAGAGATGTCTGATTGCCCAATTGCTGTTTCTTTGTAAGTAATCATGTAGCTTTTGAGACTGGTTTGTTATCTTGTTCTTAGATTCTCAATCATGGATACTGGCATGGATTTTTAAAATTACTCCTTGGAATTTATTTTTAATCTGAGAACTCAGGTTTTTAATTCAGGAAAATTCTCAGCATGTATTTCTTTAATTCTTCTGATATAATTCTTCTGATATTTCTTATATTCCTTTCTCCTAGAATTTGTATTTGCTGAATGTTGATGTCTTTCAACATGTCATCTGTAGATTTACTTTTATGGATTCTTACCTTTTGGTTTTTCTGTGTTGCCTTCTCGGGGAACTCCCCAGGACCACCTTCCAGACTACTAATTTACTCTTTGACCGTGTCTATTCTAGGGATCATACTGATCTCATTTTTACCACTTAGTATTAACTACTGTATCTTTCATCTTATATAATTTCTCTTTGTGGCTTTTTTTCATCTTATCTCTTCTCATTCAATTTATATCTTTGTTTGAAAACTGTGTATATTCCTAGTGAAAGTCAGTTTTTTACTTATTTTCTTGAACATCTTAACCATATTTATTTAAACGATTTTGTCAGATTGTTCTTAACACTAGATGGTTAACACAGATTCTAATTAGTGGTTAGAATTCTAACTTTGGTTAACAATAGATTTCCAAAGATATTTTAAGATTTTGATTTTCAGGGTCATTTTGAGTGGGATGCTTTGCTTGGCTTCTCTCTTTCCTTATTCTTGCCTCCCTAGCAGTTTTGCAATTGCTTCTACAAGGCCCTTACAGCCCAATACAGAACTAGGTTTTGTATTGCTATTTTGAAGTTTATTCTCCTTGGTGATGCTGGGGAATCAAAAAAGCAACATGTATTCCCATGTCACAGTCTCCACTTATTAAAGTACAGCTTCTCTGTATTTTAATGGTCTTTTTTTTTTCCTCTCTGCTGCATCCTAGGCAAATTCCTCTTGCTCCCCTTTCCAGTTCCTTTAGTTTCTCTTTAGCTGTATCAGATAACCCCTTCATTGACCTTTTATATTTTTTGACTATCAGACTTCTATTGGGTTCTTTTTCAAGTATGTCTATCCTCTTCCCCCATAATATTTCTGGTCTTTAATAATTTAAAAATACTTAACATATATTCTCTTTCAGAATGTTCTAGTACCTTGCTTTCTTGGGAGTGCTAATTCTGTTATTTGTATCTGCTGACTCTCCTCATGGTGTGTTATTTCCTTGTGTTTTTTTTTTTTTTTAATTTCCATAGTTTTTTAAAATTATGAGATTTCTTTAACAAGGGTAATATTTCCTAAAGAAATCAAATGTTCCTTAACTTGGATAAGTTTCCATACAGAGTGTTTTTCATATTTGCTTTTGATGTGACTTTGGGGGTATGAATGATATGTTACCTTTCAGCATGGGATTCTGGCACCGAGGGGGTTGTGTAAACACGGAAGCTGATGTGCAAGGTATGAGCAGAGTCTGACTTTGTATGGAACGCCTCCGTTCCTCCTGTACAGCCCCGAGAAGGTCACAAGGCCCGTGATGCTGCCTCCCGAGTGGCCCAGTGTTGTGCTCTTCCTGCTTTCTGATGACCTGGTCCTTTCTGAGGACCATTGTATTTGTGTCTTAGGCTCCCCGGGCCACCAGTGCGTTAGCTCATGTGGTTGTTCTTGTCTTTGAAATTTATCCTTATTTCTAGCACCTGGGGATTCCCTCCTCCTTCTTTTAGCCGTGGCTCTGTTTTTATAATAAGGTGAGGTGGCCAAGCATGTAAAGTGATGAGCTCTTAATTTATAGACACACAGGATAAAATATAGTTACTAAAATTGGCTTTGGAGGAAGGCATTAATTTTAGCTTTGCTACTCTTGTGCTGTGTGACTTATAACAAGTTACTTTGCTTCTTGCATTTTTTTTCTTTTTATCGATGCTGTAGCAAATAACCCAAAATTAGTGGCTTAAAATAACACATTTAGGTCAGAGGTCTGAAATGGCTCTCACATCGCTACAATTGAGGTGCCCCAGAGCTGTGCCCCTTCATGGATGCTCGGGGTGAGAACCTGATTTCCTGCTTTCTGGAGCTTCCAGAGACCATCTGTTCTGGCCTGTGGTTCCCCTCCATCTGCAGGGTAGCAACTTGGGCTACTTGGAGTAGCCATGAGTCTCTCCCAAGCTGTGCCCTCTCTGGGTCTCTCTTCTCAGTCCCTCGTCCACTTTCACAATCCCATCGGACTCTCAAGCTAATTCTCGACAATCTGTTTGTCCTAAGGTCAGCTGGCTGGCAAACTGGCTTCCCCTCTGCCAGGTCAAGGAGCACATTCACAGGCTCCGGGGTCAGGACGCAGCTGTCCCCAAGGGGTCTTTATTCTGCCTCCCACAGAATAATGGCTCCTTCCTTGCAAACCAGGGCTCTGCCACGGAGCAGCAGTCGATATGTAACGGAGAACGTTACGGTGATTCTATCATCGTTAGCCATCAGAGTTTTCCCCATCATGTTCATGGAACAGGGCTGAATGTGCCTGGAGAAGATGCGAGATCTCAGTCTGAGACATTCTCAGAGCACAATTCAGTAAACTGGCTCAGGGCAAACAGCCATGAGCAGCCACAGCGGAGCACCACGTCATCCAGGAGAGCCACAGTGACATTCCACCTGTCCCTTTGCTCAACGAAGGTGTCACTAGCGAACTTACTGAGCACCAACCCCAGGCCAGGCACTGTGCCTGGTGCCACATGGAAGGGGGAGTGGGTTGGGAGTATAGAGTCACCACGGCTCCTTAAAAAGTCCACCAGAAATGGGTGTGAGAAGCACACACATTGTCATCCAGGTTGTGAAGTGTGACGTTCCCTTTTCTTGAGCAGCATGGTCAGCCTCAAACACCTGTCACAGAAAACCAGCCCTGGGCTTCAACACCCTAAACCCAACTTCTCAAAATAAGGAAAAATCAGTACTTTAGAAAGGAGAGAAAAGTGCAGTGTTTCAGAAAAGAATCTATCATTAGAAGAGGGTAAATATTAGCAATTAATGTGAACAAAATTCAAACAGTTCAATTAAACAATGCTAATTCAAGCAGTTCAGTAACAGAGTGTCAATTCAGATGCTTGGCCAACACTCAGATGGAACTAAAAATGTCCCTTTTAGTCTGGCTGGCGTTGGGGCTGGAGAAACAGGGTTTGTTGTCTGTTTTTGCAGATAAAGTCTTATTGGACCCCAGCCCTGCCCACCACTCACTGCTGCACCCTGACGCAGAGTTGAAGAGCTGCCCAGAGGCTGTGTGGCTCTCAGGACCAGAGGTGTTCAGTATCCGGACCTTACAGAGGAAGCTCCCCAACCCCACGCTGGGCCCTCCCTGTGGGGGTCACTACTGCGATGACTTCTCACCTTCCACTTCAGCCCTGGGACAGGCCAGGAGGGAGGCTGTGTCCATCCTCACCATAAGCGAGCTCCCAGAGGGGAGGCTTGGATGGGGACTTCAACTCTCCCTTTGGTGACAGTGTGCCCAAGATTGTGGTGACCTTCAATTCCATGGATAAGATTTTCCTCTTTTGTCTTCCCAGTTGGCCAAGGAGACTACCTCAGGGACAGAAAGGGGACACACCTGTGTTCATTTTGAGGTCGAATGGAGCCAGCGGTGTGGGAGGAGTGGCCCTGGTGACAGGGACAAGGCTGCCTTGTTTGTGTCTTGGGCCACTTCACGAAGGACAAGTCCTAAGACAGACTCTCCGAAATTTGTGTCCCTCTTGGAAGAGGAGTTGGAACAGACATCTCAAACTTTCCTCCAGATCTAAAGAATGTGGTGACCATGTCAGAATGTGATCAAAAATTTGGATACTAAATTTTGCTGAGTTCCCTTGTGGTTTCCTACGTCAAGTACACTGAAAACTGAAGTGTGCCACGGCAAGTATGTGGCCGAACAACTTCAACTTGAAACATGCTATTTAGGGACAGTTTTCCCCATGCAAAACTTATTCCATAATATGAAGTAAAATGTGAGAAACAAGATAAGGGCATGTGTGTGTGTGTGTGTGTGAGAGAGAGAGAGAGAGAATCCTTTGAAGCTGCGATTTGGCTGTTAATTCACAAGGTCACAGAGCATGTTTTTCCTAAAATTTGGAAGATACCTGCTTTATTACTAAGACTCAAAAGATTCTGTGATCCCAAAATGTCACATTTCCAAATTTCAATGTATGTGGCAGAGTTCAGGTTCGTGGACTTGCAAGCCAGAGGGAGGAGGTCATGTGGCCAGTGTCCGCCCACCTCTGGCTGTGGGTGCTGCTTACCTTAAAGCACTCTTCTTCTTCTTTGTACACTGGGTTCATGCCGGCTATCAACGGGATGAACTCCGCTGGGGTGAGTGGCTTTTGAGTCTGCTGCCGGATTCTCCGGTCCGTGAGCACACCTTTAACCACTTTGACTATGTTTCCTTGGGTGAAGCCGTCGGTGACCTTTGCTAAGCAGCTGATGTTCAAGGCCTTGGTGAGGACTCCACCGTTGCGCTGAATGATTTGTTTCCACAAAACTGTTGCATCAAAGATGGTGGGAAAGACACAGAGAACAAGCGTTACCACAGAGCAAGCAGCGCCAGCCCAGCTCTCCACAAACTTCATCTTGTCTGAAAGGACACACGGGGGCCAACTCCCACGTACAAGTCATTCAAATGAGCAGATGACTGCACATTGTCCTCTGGGGACTCTTCCCCCACAGGACCTGGAGGTCTACAGATCACACGTCCCTTGCAAATAGACAAGGAAGAGTTAACCGGTACAGTTGAATGCAACCCATACAGATGCTGAAGAGCTTTCAGAACTGGAAATTTGTGTGAGGAATAAGTGGCATCTCTGCTCATCAGATTATTATATTTTCCCAAGCATTTGGATAAGGAGTTTAACATTTCTTTTTTTTTAGTTATAAAGTTCATTTCTTATATTATTCGCACAACTGGAATTAGAAGTCACATTATGATTTTCTCTAGCTACTGCAAGGCTCTGGGTAATATTACACATTGGGTTAGGTGGAGCACTGTGACCTGTTCTCTCCCCCTGTATATATAGGTTGGTTGATAGACAGTGCCTGGGTGGGTGGGACCGGGGTAAAGAAGAGATTTCCCTCAGAGCACAGGAGGTTGTGCAAATGAAATAAGTTTGATGCTTACTTTAGAGATTGAACAAACTCAGTGCAACATTTAAACTAACATTACATTTGGAGAACTATGTCCATTCTGTTGAGACAGCACAGGGAAGGGACCGAGGACAGGTGAAGGCACTCACGGGCTGTCTGTCTCAGAACCAGGACAACCTGGTCACACATTTCTAAAGCATTTTGACCTTCTCTGAGGTGTGTGGAAACATTTTTTTTTTTTAATGACTGTTACTATACAATCTGGCCATCGCCAGACATGGTGAAGGGTCAGTTCTGCATTTGTTCAATGATCCCACCGTCCACATCCACTGAGCTGAAGACAGATGGTGAAAGGCAAAGGTGCACTGGTCACTGTAAAGGAAGGGACCCGGGAGCCACTTCAGAGAGTACTGCTTTGGGAGCTGAGTGATCCCGCAATTCGCCTCCACTGCCCTCTTTGGTGGGGTCCTTTGGGGGGAGCTGATTTGCTGGTAAAGGCCAGTGTCCCCGGGGTCCTGCCTGTTTCTCCAAGGCATCAAGGGTTTGGTGCCCTGCAGTGAGGCCAACAAGGGCCCTCGGGATCCCCATGTTGGCTGGGATCATCAGCCACTCCTGAGCTGCTCTGCTCCTCAGCCTTGGTGGGATGCAGCCACGGCAGTGTGTGGGCTGCCCGATGGCGCTGACCGTGGGCCCTGTTCTTAGCTGCGTGAGTGCTGCTGCCACAGTGACTGCTGGTCACTGTGCCTTGCACGAGTGCTTCCCGCCCTCACTAAAACATCAGTTATAAACACAACACAAAAGGAGCTACGGAAGGCTTCAAGGCACATTTGTTTAAAGACAGACTATAGCAGGCAAGGGTAATCCCCATCTAATTATGATCGCCACAGAGTTAGAAAATATAACCTGGGGTAAAAATGGAAACACCAGTAACAACTGGGGACACCATGAGATGGAACGTCTTCTGCCCAAACTCATCGTCTACAGGGAACCAGCACGTCTGAGAGCTGACTCCGGAGGGCACGAGTGTCCTGGGAAGCACAGCTGGAGCCGCTGAAGACCAAGTCGACACCTGTGGCGGACACTCAGGATGGTGGTAGCCCTGCCGGGCAGGGACAGCCTTCCTGCCTGTGGCTTGAAGTGGAACCATCAGGGGACAGATGGGGAGGGCCAGGTGACCTTGCAATAGACACCTGACTCAGTCCCCTGCTGCCTTGTAGACTGGCAATAGTCACATCCCTGGAAGTGCCTGCCCAAGTCATGCCACTGTCCAACATGAGCAATCTCTGCACGTGAGGGTCACTAGCAATGGAACGCAGTCCTCTGGGGCAGCGTGCACGTGTGGACACACCACTCACCATTTACAACGGGCGATGCTTGGTGTTCGTGTGGTTTGGCCAGTGTTTCTGGACAGACTCGTTTCATTGATGACTCTCCAGAGATTGTGGGTGTGGAGTGGAGGTGCAGTCACAGCTGGCCCACGGGTCCCTACCGATCGCATGGCCGAGAGTGGGCCAAGGGCCGGGCTTCACTTCCTTCTCGTGCTGGACTGATTTGATGGTTACCTTTTAAAGAGTTGCGTGTATGGCTTTTCAAAGCCATGTGCCCAGGCTCTTGACAGCAGCTGCTCTGGGGTCAGCATGGAGTGAGGTTCGGAGTGGAAGGCTTGGTTGGCACAGGAGCCCAGGGTGCAGAAGTGTGGGAACCAGGGGCCACAGGTCCGCTCAGGGGTGCAGGTGGGGAACGCCCAGGCACAGTCCCAGACCCACAGTGAGTGTGTGGGTCAGGCCCAGGCCAAGGCTGGGCACTGCTGACACCGTGGGGGCCTTTGGGTGGAGGGCTGTGTTCCACTTCCTCTCCTGGAGGCAAAGGATCTCTCAGTTCTTCAGATCAATCTACATTCTCTTTCCCTTCTTTAACTGAAATGAGTCTGCTCTTTGGCTTCTCCCATCTGCTTCTGACGTCCCAGTGGATTCCACGCTGGCTGCCGCTCCACCGGACACAGTATCTTAAAGTTCATTTAATGTGAGATCTCACAAAAGTAGGAGAAATGAATGATGAATGACATGACTTGGGCAAACCCCTGACCCTCTGAAGCCTCAAATCCCAGAAGACACAGACTGGACTCATCCCATCGGACACTGGGCCGGGTGGGGTCCATGATGAATTGGGCAATTAGACAGACAGACCCCCGGGGAGGGGCCAGAGGAGAGAAGCATTAGGGACGTGGAGGGGGCAGGCCAGAGGGAGTTCTGGGGAGCAGACAAGGCATTCATCAACTTGGGAGGTGGGTTATCTTTGCAGAGACAGCTTGACCTGGGGAAGGAGGTAGACACTGAATCATAACTGGCGAACCTTAAGGACCCAGGGACTCAGGCTGGCCTGGCCCTCGGCATTGTCACTCCCTGCCAACAGCCTGCAGGAATTTGACAAGTGGGAGGACGAGTGTTTCCATGCACCTCGGGAGCTCTGCTGCGGGCAGACAGATGGCCGGGCGATGGCCCAGTTATGGATCTGCAGTCCATGCTTGATGGGCGGGAGGAGACACTTCTGGTCCCTGCTGTGGCAGGGACCGTCCTTCTTTAAGACGAATGTCCCCGCTGTCGCGGCTGTGAAAGCGCCAAGGCTCTGGAGGAAACGCTGGTCGGTGCTCAGGATGCGGCAATAATGGCAGCTTGAACAGATCACCCACCAGGAAGAAATATGTGGCAGGCACGTGGCTTGGTGGACAGCTCTGCGCCCAGGAGCAGAGCTGCAGGTCTGTCCCCTGCCTCCTCCCGCGAGGACGCCGTGAGGAGGTCCAGGTGGGAATCTGCAATGCCCTCTGCGTCTTGGAGACACCTGATCTTTCATCAAAAGGACAAAGTCGCCCGTGCAACATCAATAGCTTCATTTTAGGGCCCGTGGGTCTGTCAAACAATGGGACCCTTCAATCCAGTCAAGAGTAATGTTCTGGCCCCTTCGAATTAATGACACCGATGTTGCTTCATCAAACACATAAAACATGGGCCCCAGAAACAAAACAGAGGAGAGGAGGCCGAGGGGAGGGCAGGAGGCTCTGCAGAGGCAGGAGCACAGCCCGTGGCGTCCTGCCAAGGCCCTGGGCCGTGGGGTCTGGGACTCCTCCTGGCCAGGGTGGTGTGGGCTGGCCCTGCAGGTCCAGTCCCTGGGGCCTCCTGTGACATCCTCTGAGCCACCTTCCCTCTTTCCTCCTGACACTGGCAGGATGCAAGGGATCCCATGGGGCCCCGGGCGGCCCTGTGAGATGGGGAAGCCACCTAGGAATGAGAAGCCACCAAGGGATGGGGAAGCCACCTAGGGAGGGAGAAGCCACCAAGGGATGGAGAAGCCACCTAGGGATGGAGAAGCCACCTAGGGATGGGAAAGCCACCTAGGGATGGGGAAGCCACCAAGGGATGGAGAAGCCACCAAGGGATGGAGAAGCCACCAAGGGATGGAGAAGCCACCTAGGGATGGAGAAGCCACCTAGGGATGGAGAAGCCACCTAGGGATGGGGAAGCCACCTAGGGAGGGAGAAGCCACCTAGGGAGGGAGAAGCCACCTAGGGATGGGGAAGCCACCTAGGGAGGGAGAAGCCACCTAGGGATGGGGAAGCCACCTAGGGATGGGGAAGCCACCTAGGGATGGGGAAGTCACCAAGGGATGGGGAAGCCACCTAGGGATGGGGAAGCCACCTAGGGAAGGGGAAGCCACCTAGGGATGGAGAAGCCACCTAGGGATGGGGAAGCCACCTAGGAATGAGAAGCCACCAAGGGATGGGGAAGCCACCTAGGGATGGAGAAGCCACCAAGGGATGGAGAAGCCACCAAGGGATGGAGAAGCCACCTAGGGATGGGGAAGCCACCTAGGGATGGAGAAGCCACCTAGGGATGGAGAAGCCACCTAGGGATGGAGAAGCCACTGAAGGATGATAAGTGACAGGCCCTGGGTCCTCCCGCTCTTGGAATGAGACTGGTTGATGAAGACAGATCTCCCCTTATGAAGGGAGAAAGAAGCCCATGCTGCCAACAGAGTGGCCAAGTGGCTAGTGAGTATCCCTGTGGGGCGCCCGGGCTGCCCTTGTGTCTTCTTAGTGGTTCACACTGATCACACAGAACAGTGGTTCCATCACAGAGTGCTCACACGCCACAGCATGGGTGATCGGTGTCCCTCCCCGGTCCCTCCCCTGGCCTCTCTCTCTCCCTCCCCGTCCCCTTCCTCTGCACTCATGGTCTCCTTTCTACATTCATGATGACCCACCATTTTCAAGGAGTGTTCTTTAGTGAAGAAAATTGGCCAGGAACTCAAGAACAAGCAGGTGAGGACACATGTGTCCCTTGTTTGGGTGGTGACTGGCGAGGGTTAGTAAAAGCTGGGTCTCACCTAATCGGCTGCATGGCTGCCCCCTGATGCTCCCCACTGCTCCATGCCTACCTCCACCAACTTCCCAGTGTCACCCCACACTGCCACCACTGCCACCACCCTCCTAACACCACTTCCACTGGACTGCCATCATCTCCACAACCACTGCTCCCAGCTCCCCAAGTGTCACCCATGCTGGGCCGTCACTGTTACCACCTGTGCAGTGTGGCCACCGTCGGCTCCTCAGGAGCCTGCGCCTGCCCATCTCCACCCTTCTAACGCCGACCACCATCCCCATCCCCATCCCAGTCCCCTCGCCACTCCTCCATCTGCTGAAAGCCACACCCACGGTCTTCACACTCTGCATCTCCCATTGTCCTTAAGTCTGGTGGTCCTGGACTTCCTTGACCGCCCCCCACGTGGCGATGGTGACTCTGTGACTTCTGAGGCTGGTCACAGGAAGCCTCCCAGCTATTGCCTGGAGCTGCTCCCTCCTAGAGCTGAGCTGTTGAGCTGCAGGAAGGGGCCACGTAGGCTCTCTGGTCCACAGCCCTGCTGGGCTCCCCTGATGGCCAGCGCCACTCCAGGCACATGAGGGAACAGTCTCAGATGTCAAGCTCTGCGCAGCCTTCTAATAACTGGAGTCCTAGCTGCCATCTGCCTCCAATAGGTGAGATCCCCATGGCGAATGCCCGGAGGAGACCAGTCCACCCCCGATGCACAAGGGGGACCATCCGCTGCTTTAAGCCAGTGGGCAGGTTGTCACGAAGCAGCAGGTGGCAGACGTGACCACTAGTTACATTGCCAGCTCCCTCTTGCCACTGACCACCCTGTTTTCCATCCCTCCCTCCTACACTGCTGCCACCAGTGCCCAGGACCTCCTGGGAGCTGACCTGGGGCCAAGTGTCCTGCCAGCAGTCTAGGTGAGAGGCACAAGAGCCTGAGCAGTGGACAGGTCTGCACAGATGGCAGCAGGGAGGTCAGCTGCCCTGTCAGGGTCGCCTGGCTGCTGAGTGTCAGCTGGGATTCTGAGCAGGGCTCCTGGGAGCCTGGACCCCTGACTCTTCCCACTGCTACCACACTGCCCCCCCCGGGGCTGCGTGGATGGTCAGCGGTTCTGAGGTGGCATCCTGGCCCCACACACCTGCCCGCCAGCCCCGCAGCCCACCTGGGAACCACATGTGGAAGGGGCTCAGGATACTTGCCATATCTGGAGGCATAGTCTGGTCTGGGAACCAAAATAATTTTTTGGTAGGCTCTGCAGAAAGACTGAAGTTCAGCATCGAATGGACGCTGTGTGGTCCCCACGATCAGGATCCTGTCGTCCGGTTTCAGGAGCTTCAGGATTTTGGGTAGTTGTTTTTTCAGGCGTTTAGGATCATTCTGGGAGTAAGAGAGGGGAGGAAGATCACTCCACGTGCAGAACAAAGAATTAAAACTACCAAGGACCTCCTCTTGGAAATGGGAGCAGGGGGTTGCGCTTATCAAGGTGATTTCACGGCTCTGCGCCTCTGCCCGGCGCCTGGGAGGCACTTCCCAGTCCGGGTGAGGTTTGATTGTTGGCAGTTCCTTCCCCTCTGACATTCAGATTTGGAAAGTGGGAGGGAAGGAAGGAGCTGACCGAGGACTGGCGCCCTTGACCCAAGCAGTGGAAGACTCGGCAGACTCGGCTGCCGTCCACGGGAAGGAGCGCCTGGGACGCGGGCGAGTGCCGTTCTCCTGCTTCCCCCTGAGCTGTTTGGAGGAAGAATTTAAGGTTCCTTTGCTGAGGGTGACACAATGGGGACCCTGGTCACAAAGGTTCTGAGACCGGGGTGTCTCGGCACTTGCTAATGAAGGAGGGGCACAGGCTCAGGCACGCATTCTGCGCCCGGGGATGGGGGCTGCTGTGGCCAGGTTGCCACGGGCAGTACCTGGCTTTAGGTGAAGCTGACCGGCACAGGCAAGTGAGGAGAGGGCCTGAGAAGAGGGCCGGGGGATGGAGAGCCTCTGCAGAGACCCCCAGCGCAGCCTTGGCCACCCCACTCCCACTGGCTGATGGCTGAAGAGACTCTGCACCTTTTCATGAGCACATTGACATCTGAGTGTCCTCTTTGGAAAATGTGCATCTAGATCCTGGGCCCACTTGGCCATCTGGGTTTCCTGCTTTAGGTCCCTGAGACTGCGTTGTCAGGGTTCTTTTCATGATCTGAATACAAGCCCCTCATCAGCCAGTACCCGCTGCGAGTTGTCTTGTCATTTCCTTTACTTTCTTGTTTTTAGCTCAGCACTTTGGAAGAGTTATGTGGAACTGCTGTCCATCTTGGGGGCCATCCATGGGCCCTCTGGGCTAGAGGGACAGCAAGGGAAGAGATGCAGAAATAGGGATTCAGTGAAGAGGCTGGACAACGGTCTCTTGCATACAGATGGTGCTCAACCCGTGTTTGCTGAGCGATTGATTCTCCCCAAGCCCCTTGTCTTCACCCTTTCCTCAGTGACCCCTAATAACCCACCCTTCTGGGCAACCCCCTTTGCACCCACTCCTCACCTCCTGCCCCTACAGCCCCCACCACTGCCCCGCCACCTCCTCCCGAGGCCCTCGAGTCAGGGCTGTTCTGTGCACCACTTTGGATGACGGTTTTGGGCTCATGGAGGGCTATTTGCAGAACAAGGCAGGGCTGAAACCCAAGTATAAGGTCCGTTGCTGTCCGGGCCCCACACAGGGCCTTGGCCTGGGCTCTCCTCCACTGCCCCCACAGTGGTTATGCTCCTGGGCCTGGGGCCTAGGCCCTGCATTTGCTGGCTCTGTGTCCAGTGTTGAGCCCGGGAGGTCTCGGTCCCGTGGTGTGGAAAGCGCGACAGTGCTTCTGCTCAGATGGGTTCCATGCAGTCCTGGCCTGTGGCGTGGACTCTTCCAGCGCGATGCCCCGTCCTCCCTCTCCTCTCCTGCAAAAGGCTCCCAGGGTCTTTTTTCTGTGCTGGGGATTGAACCCAGGGCCTCCTCCCCTGCTGGGCGAGGGCTCTTCCACTGAGCTGCAGTCCCAGCCCAGTCTGTGTAACGTGGATGGAGCTGCAGCCGCGGGCCAGAAGCTGGCTCTACAGCGGTGATCGAACCAGACCCCAATCCTCACCCTCGTGCCTGACGATTCGGCAGAGGCAAAAGGCAGGTTCACAGATGAACAGTTAAGTCAAGTCAGGGGAAACGGGCTCTGGAGCTGGAGAGGAGTCCTGAGGAAGTGGAGGCAAGCAGAAGGGACACGATACTAAGGTGACGTTTGAGCAGACTGGGGCAGGAGAAGGCTGTGTGGATTGGGGAAGAGTTTCAGGCAGAGAGGAGAGTGCGTGTAAAGGTCCTGAGGTAGAAATGTGCTGGAGGCTCTAGAAAGCCCTGAGAGGCCAAGGGAGAGAGAGGCAGGGGAGGAGGGCAGAGAGGGAAGAGAGGCCAGGTCCCTGGGGCTTTGCAGGCCACATGAGAACTTTGCTCTTACTCTGGAATGAGGCAGAAGTCGGTGACAGAAAAACGTTATTTCATTAAGAGAGGAATCTAGGTCTCTGCCTTTGACTTCAGATCGCACAGTTTAAGGGAGAAGCCACTGCAGATGCAGGCTCCACCTCTAACCCTGGCCAGGGCCAGGAGGGCACTTCCTGAAGGGCGCCTGTCAATCTGCACTGGCCCCGCCTCCCACTGCAGGGCCCCTGGTCTGAGCTGGGCCTTTCAGAGTTGGCCCACTGGCTGCTAGTCTCCTCCGTGGTGTCCTCTGAAGCGAAACCATCTTAGATTCCAGGAGATACCGTCCAAAGTTTCTTCTGCGCTTGTGTTCTTGGTGTCACACCTAAGAAACCACTGCCTACCGCGAAGCTTTAGGTCTGCGTTTTCTCCCAAGAGCTCTTTCGTTTTAGCTCTTACTTGTGGGAGTGCGATACGCTGAGCTGATTTTTGTATGCGGCAGGGGTCGGAGGCGGCTGCATCCCTCGGTAGGTAGGTGGCTGCCGGTTATGCTGTAGCATTTGTCGAAAGGTTATTTCTGCATTGAGTGGTCTTAGCGCTTAACCGAGTGGCTGTAAGGTCAGCAGTCATTTCTGACCCTCACGTCGGTTCTGTCCATCTGTATGTGTCTCCTGTGCCCGTACCCGCCGTCCTGAGTGTCCCAACGCTGAAGTCAGTTGGGGAATGAAGTTGGGAGGTGTCGGGGTCCTCCCTCGAACTACTTTCTTCTGGAGAGGGTTTTGGCAGGTCCTTTGAATTTCCATGTGCATTTGAGGACCTGCTTAACAGTTTCTGAAAATAAAATAAACTAGCCAGGATTTTTATGGGGTGGCACTGAACCCATAGATCATCTGGAGATGACTGACGTCTTAGCAACCCACGAATGTGAAGGTCCTTCCACGTATGTAGGTCTCCTTTAAAACTGCTCAACAACGCGATTTCAGAGAAGTCTGGCACTTCTTTTGCACCGAGGGGAACTTTCTGAGATCCATTTCTTGGAGTGGAGAGGGCAGCAGATGATGGTGGGCAGCAGATGATGGTGGGCAGCAGATGTTGGTGGGCTAGGAAGTGAGCGGATGTGACAGCGGCTCGGCCAGTAAGAAACTTGCCGCTGTGGAGTGAACCTGGAGGGAGCGACTGGGACTCCTGAGAGGCACACGAGCTGCCAGAGTCGGTGGAGGAAGCACTGATCTCAGGGTCCCAGGCTGGAGCAGGCTCTATGGGGGCAGAGACACCTCCCGTCTGAGCCCATCCCCAGCAGCCCGGTTGCCATGGTGACGGTGGTGCGCTCTCCACCGTAGATGATGCTACCTGCGTGTCCTGAAATGGCAGGGCTGCCTAAAGTTAATTAGCCTATTTGGATGACAAATGTTGATCTTGGGCTGTGTCCAGCCGATGTCCTTGTATTGGTGAGGTGCAGGGGAGGGGAACAGGCGGTTCGTCCATTCCATCAGTAGCCCCCACACTCCGCGGCCCTTGTCCAGCCCAGAGCTGTCCATCTTCCTGAGACCTGCACGCTCATCGATCACGCTGGGAAACGTCCCCACGATCACCTGGCAACCTCCACCTGCTGCCCCCGCCGCGGGGCCTGCCAGCCCTCACAACTGTCCTACTGTGGGCAACTCCAAATCCGTGGCTGGCATCCACACGGCAATTTCAAATTGCTTTCCTGCAGTTAGCGCCACAAAACCCCCGCAGCAGCTGGCCCCAGTGAAGCCAGCAACGTCCTGGGGAGGGCCAGCAACGTCCTGGGGAGGGCCCTGCAGTGATGGCAGGAAGGGCGGTGCCAGGGAGGGCGGTGCCAGGGAGCCTCCGATGCAGCAAGGAAGGGCAGCGGTGCAGAAGCTCAGGAGTGGCCGTTCTGCCTTCTGCCCTGGAGGAGAGGGTGGCCCTCCTCCCAGGGCACAGGAGGGGGCACGAGCAGGCATGTGCGGGGGACAGTGGCAGTGGGGTCATCGGGGTTGGGTGGGACTTTTCTGAAATCCTGGAGGTGTCAGAGCTTCCCAGGGGCGAAGGGACTATGAGGGGCACAGGGGAGGGGCAGGAGGATGGAGGGTTCCGGAGTCATGCACCTCTGAGTCAAAGGCAGGAAGAGCTCAAAGGCAGTTCTCAGGAGAGGAGTGGAATGAGCCCGAGGTTGATGATGTGCTGGGGGACAGGCTGGGGCTGGGGACAGCTGGCCCTGTGGCAGACAGGGTGGTTGCTCTCAGGGTCTTCCAGCCTGTAAGTGGTGTCCAGGTGGGGTCAGGATGTGGCCTCTGCACACCGACACTGCCCACAGCTAGCGGGCAGCCTCTTCTGCAAAACAGAACCATGCGATTGTTCTCCCGGGGACCTGAGAGTGATCTGATGTGTATTGTGCCTGGGGAAGAAAACACATTCCATCAATGTCCCTCCTGCCACCAGGCTCCTCTACTTCTGGCCTAAAGCAGTCCTGGATGTCAGGGCCTCCCATCCCTGCCACCCAGGGGCTCGGCTCCCTGGGTCGTAGGTTCTGAGCTCCAGGCCCCGTGGCGGTGGGCCTTCTCCAGGCCTCCTTGCTTGGGCCTGGGTGAGCTCCATGCACTTGGCCCTGGGAGGGGCCTTAGCTCCCAGGCAGAGGCCTTGGAGGGTGGATCCAGTCACTGCAGATGAGGCTTTTCTTTCCAGGGACTTTGGCAGTCGTCACGGGGCCAGGGCCTTGCTCTGTCTCATGGCTGTGGACGGCGGGCACGGCAGGCCCTGGGTTTCTTTGCAGATGGACATTCTTCTCTGGCCTCCGTTGGGATGAGGGCAGCCTCCAGCACAGTGGCGGGGTGGTGGAAGGAGATGCTGGCTTCCCGGGCGGCTGAGAGACACAGCGGGGAGGTGGGCAGGACGTCCTGGCTCCTCTGCCTGCTCATGTGCTGGCTGCCTGGCTTGGTCCTCGCCTGTAGACTGTGGGCAGCCCAGGGCCTGGTGGCTGAGCAGCTCAGGGAAGACTCAGGAGTCCCCAAGGCTGAGAGGCCGTCCCTGGGGTGCGGGACTGGTGGAGAGCCGTGTTCCCGAGGGGAGATGGGCACACACGAGTCTCCCCACCTCCACCTCTTGCCGGGGGGTGGTGCTGGGCGGCTGTGGTCGGTGCACCGGCCTCTGCCGCTGTCTGACCTGCAGCGGGCTCAGGCAGGAGGCATTCACCTGGTGTCCCCCAGGTGGCTTGGGACTCGCCCCAGGGCACGACTGGTGGTCTTTGAGGCAGCCAGTTCCACCGAGGGTCCTCGCATCCTCCAGTGCAGAAGCGAGCAGAGTAAAGAGCACGGGCACGGGCCTCCGAGGGCCTCACCTCCTACCCAAGTGAGGCCGGCCGGCTGTGCGGGGCAGGCCAGGGGAGCTGGAGGCCTGGTTCCAGCTCTATTGCTCCCATCTGCCCCCTCCGCCGCCTCCTCCTGCCCCTCTGTGCTGACTCTCTGAAGTGCTGGGTCCACCAGCCCTGCCCAGTGCCCCTCTGGCTGCCTTATTAAGGAACGCTTCATATTCCTCTGAGTCTCCATGGACTCAGGCTGCAGGTGAGCAGACGCTGTGATTTCCCCCAGCCAATCAAGAGCTTCAGGGGTCCTGGGAGAGGATTCGAGAGAGGCTTCATGAACTAACACAGAGGCTGTTCTGGAGGGAACCCTCTAATTTGATAGTTAATGAAGTGGAGGCTCAGAGAGGTTAAGTTATTTGCTGAAGGATGCACAGAGAGCTAAGGTGAGCAGGCCTGGGGGCCCATACCTTTCAAGTTCCACCCAGTCTGAAGTTATGCGGGACAGTAACAGTCCCTGCCCATTAGTGAGCCAAACTTCTGATGACCTCAGGGGCATGACCCCCTAAGCACAGCCTTGCACTGCTCTCTAGATTTGTGATCTGGTTCACAGTTATTTCTAGCATCAATTTTTCTCATGTGTGAACTTTCCCCTTCGTCCTCAGTGCAGCCATGTGGCCAGCAGAGGGCGCTGGTGGCTAGGTTCCCAGATGACATAATAAATGAGCCCTCCTAAGAGTCTCTGCAATGACAGGGCAATCAGGGCTCATTTGGAGAAGAAAAGATTGAGCTTTCTTTATCCAAATCACCCGACCTGCTAAAAAGGATGTATAATACATAAGGATTCAGAGTGATTAAAATCCTTATGAATTTAATCAGAAATTCACAGTTAACCACTATTTGCTTTGGTGCAAATTGATGTGGAATAACAATCATGTGTTTCTGCAATTTTTTTTTTAACTTGTGGGAAATTTGCTGGTGATTTGCGGGGGGGAAGCATGGGGGAGGGGGCCATTGAAAGGAGAGAAAAGAAGGAAGGAAGCAATCGAAGGGGGCTCCCCGGAGGCCCTCGGTGCCTTAGCTGGCTGTTGACGGCCTTTGTTCGTGAATTTCAGGCCTTTTGTTATTTATTATTATGAACAATAGGAAATCCTAATAATAACCCCTGTGTGTGCCATTGGCTGCCTCGGAGCCGAGTTCTCTAAATTGCTTCTTCCCTCTGGACCCATGTTTGGGTTGGAAATCCCCTCCCCCTTCTTCCACATTTTCTTCTGAATCATGCCTCAGGATCCGACCTCAGGATCCGACCCCTGGACCCTTCCACAGGCAGACCAGCTCCTAGGGCAGAGACAGACCACGCACCCCCACTGCCTTTCTCCCTGGACAAGGCAAGGTTTTCTGGAAAAGTGGAGGTGGGACCCCCACCCGGGGCCCTTGGAGGAAGGCAAGGTCAGAGCAGGGAACATGGAGAAGTCCTCACCATCTTTTCATTGCTGGGGACTTTTTTGTAGAAGGTTTTCTCTGCGTCTTCGATCCAAACCACGGATGGCTGGAGCTGCCTGGCCACCTGCAAAGGACACAGAAAAGCCCTGGAGGTGACAGCCTCCCCTCTCGGGGTGCGTGGGGTCTCCCCGCCAATGGCGGGCTTGAGGCCCTGGACAGTGGGGTCGCTGGGCCGGGCGCCCTGGGGTGAGCCCACCCGCACTCCATTGCATGCCGTGTTCACATGCCTGCTGCTCAGACCCGTGCACAGCAGGGCAGGCGCCGGCCTCCCTGCACCCTGGCAGCTGTCCTGATGGAGACTCTGCCCAGGACCCTGAGCCTCCTCTCCATTCGGTTTGCAATAAACCCATGACTCCCAGCTGAAGACGATGGCAACCGGCCGTGAGTCTTGATGCCAGCCCACTCGCCACCCCATTTTCATTCAAGCCGGCCTGCCAGGAGAAAACCCGCGCAGCACCAGGGCCCGTCACGCTCCCCGCATCTGCATCCGGCTGCGCCTTTGTGGCCACAGTCTCCCTGGAAGGCAGCTCCGAGTCCCTCCAGGCCGCGCAGGGCTTTGCAGTGGAGCTGGGGCCGGACTGACCCGTGGCCCGTGAATAACTGCACACACCTAACAATCTCTTCAAACGCCCCCACGAGCGCGGAGCTCAGGTATTTTTGCAACAATTTGTGCTTTGTGTGAAATCGCGACAGATAAAAGCTGTTTCAGCCACAGCGAGCACAGCGCAATGGCCTCCTATTTATATATTTCTTAAAACATCATTCGGCAACAGGGGTGATTCTGAACCAAGGCGGCCATTCAGTGGGTGAGGGAAAAACGCTGGGGACACGGCGGCTGTTTTCCCGGCATTGTGTACCAAGTCGGGATGGGAAGCAGATTATGCACCCTCTGGGACAGAGTGGACAGTGACTGAACGGGACCCTTGTGCAGCACGCCGCCTGGCTGGCTGCTCCACGGTGCCCAGCGTGCCGGACGGGCAGAGGGAAGGCAGTGCTGGTCAGTCAGTGCTGGGGTGTGAGCTGGCGGACCCAGAGCCAACAGCTCAAGGAGTCAGAGTCTCCGACATTAATCCCAGTCCCCAAGGCGCTGTGGGTGGTGACCCTAGGGAGCCCTGGCAGTTGGTGATTGAGCAGGTGTGTGCCGGGCATTGGGCACACGTGCCGTAGCTGTCGGGGCCAGCATGCACCTGACACTGCCTCCTCCCCTGGGGACTTCAAGTGCAGGTGACATTGTTCATCTTTAGCTCAACCCCACAGAGTGCACGCTGTTGCCTTCACCCTGCTCACAGATGGGGACCCTGAGGCTCGAGGACCTTCTGAAGCAAGGGCTATGAAGTGGCAGAAGCAGGACTCAGAGCCAGACTGACGGGGCCCTGCCCACGGCCATCTCACCTGCACCCACTAAGAACGCGGGGCAGCTCCAGAGCGCACTGTGGCTGAGCTAAGATGGAAATACCTCTCCCTGAGCCCAAAGCCCCGCTCTTTTCCTCCCTCCTACCCGTGCGCCTGCTGAATTTGGGGTGGCCTGCATTTGTGGGTGCTTTCTTTTTGGCTTGGACATTGAGAGTTTATTTTTGGCATCAGAGTCTGCAGAGGCACTGCCTCTCTCCTGGATTTATTGGTTGGAGAAAAGGCTACATAACTTGGACGGGACTGCGGTGGAGACGGATTGGAACCATCTGTGTGCTGGCCCCTGCCGTGGCTCTTCTCTCCAAATTCCAAGCGTGTGCCGTTGTGGCCACCCTCTGACAGGGTGCTGCTTGGCATGATTTCCTAGTTGGGGACGGTGTTGCCTAGCAGCAGGTTCAAATTCTCAAGTTGATGCCTCCCCAGGCCACCTTGCCCTGGCGCTTTCGTCAGTAAGATGGACACAATGCCCACTGCTGGATCAAGGGACTCCCTCCCCCTTCCGGATCCCTCATCTGTGATCTTTTATTTAATAAAATCAGCTCTCGGATATGTCAAAGCAACTTATTAAGCGATTCTCCAGCTTAAACATTCCATGATTCTCGGAGGAAGGTCGTGCGTGAAATACAGATGAAGAGGCACCTCAGAGCTGGAAGCCCTAAGTCCTGGGCATTGTCCAGGCCTGAGAGGAACAGAGAGGAAACGGGGGCTGCCGTGGCCTTGGGAGGAGGGAGCTGGTCCACCTGGGTCACATCCAGGCTCTCCGCTCTCTGCCAGTGTGGCAAGGTCACAAAGAGGCTCAGGGTGTGGGTTCTGCCCGAGCAGCATCGCCCCAGCTGGGAAGCCATCAGAGGACACCCCGTCAGAGGGCCACCGTGCCAGGGAGCGTGGGTAGCAGTCTGTGGTTGGTATTTGGAGAAAAGTGACAGCTGCAGACAGGGACAGTGGTGGGCAGGAGCCAGGGCAGAGGCGACCAGGGTAGAGGTGCAGCCCCTTCCTCACCCCAGTAGCTCAGTGGCTCTCGTTAGGGTCACCAGGAACCCCCGGGACACGAAATCCTGTCCTAGCCCATCCAAAGAGCTGCCTCCTGCCAATCCCTATGTGACCCTGCCTAAGTCGCAGAGGTGGCTGTGTGCTCCACTCAGCTCAGGTGGACCCCAGCTTCCTCCAACACAGGCTGCCCCCAGTCGGCCTCCCACTGAAGGTCAAAGCCGCCCTGCCTCCAGCCCCAGAAGTAAATAAGACAATCAGAGGCTCCACTCACAAGGTTTTATGAACCTTCTCAGAAAAAAGATACATTATAACAACAAAGGCAGAATCTTATCTTGGTCCTTCTTAAACTCTTAGTACTACGTGAAACCACCAGAAAAACCGTTTTCACATGAACAATGGTCTCTTGTCCTAGGCTCCACTGTACAGGACAGTGGGCCGTCCTGTCCCATGTCCATTTGGCAAGCAGAGGACTGTCCCTGCTTCATTCCTCTCAGTCCGGCTTTTCTCAATGGCATTTGCAGAGGTGAGTGCCCAGTACTGCAGCGTTGCTCTTCTCTTTCTGCTCTTAGCGGAGCAGCTGCATGTGAACTTGAAGCGCAAGAGGCTTAAGCACTTGGGCCGCCCTGGTACAGTGGTGGGTTCCGTCCACCCATGTCGAGGGCACACAGGGACATTGGGGTGAGGGGTTTGTGGGGGCTCAGCTGTTACCCACGGATTGGAAGACATTCCCAGGAGTGTCCCCGATGACGCTGATCCAGCCACGGTCATGGCAGAGTGCTTCACACCCAGGACACCGCTTCTGCCCTCATTGGCCACCTGCCACATGCTGGGCCTAGAAGTCCCATGGCTTCTCCCCATTCCAGCTGGGGTCACTGCGCAGAGCATCGTGAGGGCTGAGTAACGTGCCCGACCAGCACCGGGGCAGTGCTGGGGCCCGAGGGGGACCTGTCTGCCTGACCCCCGCGTCCACATTGCTGAGAAGCGTTCCACTGAGGCGCTGCCGTGGAGACAAGACCTGTGTCCTCGCCATCTTCACCCCAGCAGGAAGGCCACGGAGACCTTCCCTGTCCTGTCCTCGAGAGTGGGAGTCTCAGGTTTTCCTGTCCCTGCCCCTGTCCCAGGGGAGCTGCATGGTGAGTGGCCACAGGATTCCTGCTGACCATGCCCAGTTCTGGAGAAGCACAGAAGACTGGGCAGTTGAGGGATGATCCACGGACAGAGGCTGCTGTCCTTGGAGAAGGGAGACTCAGGGCCAATTCGATGTTGTCCAATAGTTAAAAAAAAAACTGCCCTGGGAAGAAAGACTGGCGGCCCCACATCTGGCCTGGACTGTGGAGTGAAGGCCACTCTTCCACGGGGGGAGCTTGAGGCCAGGCACTGTGTGAGGAGCTGGGGCACAGAGATCAGTGATGGAGGCCGCTGGCTTCAAGGGGCCCTCGACTGCCTGGGAAGGTAGTGTCAGCAGGGGCCACCGGCGACAGAGAGGGACCCTGGGTGAGGGACCCTGGGTGAGGGGCCCTGGGTGAGGGACCCTGGGTGAGGGAGCCAGGTCGGAGACTGCAGACAGACAGACCTTCAAGGTCACCAGAGGGCCACAGCCGTGCCTGGGCACTGGATGAGGTGTCCGGCGTGGGCTCGCGGGCTGCTTCTGGAAGAGGAGGCTGTGGCCCTGCCGCCGCTGCACCCTGCAGGCTGTGGAGACCTGGGGAGGCCTTGATCAGGAATCTCCATCCCCTCTGTTCCGGGAGACCCCCGCGGGCACTGTGTGAGGAGCTGGGGTGGTGGGTGGGTGGGTGCTGGGGACTCGTGGGCCTCCAGAGGGTGGGTCTGAAGGCAGGGACGTGAGCTGCCAGGGCTCCTGGGGGACAGCAGGGAGGCAGAGTGGACACCAGGGAGGCTCAGAATCCGCTGGATGTGGCAAGAAGTGGGTGCCTGGAGGAGGAGGAGGTGGGAGCGCAAAGGGACCGGTGGAGAGGAGACGAGGAGTGAGCTGGGTCGCTGCGGGCCCCGGGGGGCTGGGCAGGTGGGGAGCACTGGTGGGTCCAGGTGAGAGGAGTGGAAGGGTAGTGGGCCGGGGGGTGGGGAGCACATGGAAGGCTCTAGAGTTCCGACCGGGTCCTGGGAACCCCCAGGAAGCCTCTGGTCATTGCAGAGTGCTTCACACCTGGACACAGCTTCTGACCTCACTGGCCACCTGCCACATGCTGGGCCTGGAAGTCCCATGGCTTCTAGACCCAGGAGGAGCGTCTAGGCTGGGAGGGGGAACAAGGGGCACAGGAGAGAGAGCCGCCCTGGAGGCCAGGAGAGGACAGAGCGCAGGGTGGAGGTGCTGGTGGCAGTGGGCAGTGCCAGTGGCTGGGTCATGAGGAGGCCGCTGGTGTCCTTGGAGGGAGTGAAGGGGACAGGAGCCAGATGACAGGCTGCTGAGGTGTGAATGGGACAACCAAAGAGCAGGGAGCATTCCTTCAGAAAGACGGGCAGAGCCACCCCGGGTGGTGGCCTGAGAGGCCTTTCCAGGGACCCAGGTGAGTTAAGGGTGTGGAGATGGCGCGACAGGGAGGAAGGTGGGAAAGGGGGACCTCCGACCGAGGGACGGGCGCCGGTCCTCCTGGCACTGCGGCCTGGGAGGGAGGGACGCAGGGCACGTGGGCAGATGTGTGGGAC